ACTATATATTTTGTATATTTATCAGGTGCTATACCTGTGATGATGATGTACCTGTAGAAACATCTAAAAGAATCCAGGAATGTGTCGAGTTTCTACGCAAACAATCTGGTTTAACTCGAGGAGATCATACTACAGGTAAAAGAAACTCTCAATATCCAGCTCTCTAACACTCTCGAACAGTAATATCCAACTCCCTAACAATAATATCCAACACTAACAATAATATCCAACTCTCCAACAATATCCAACCCTAACAACAGTATCCAACTCTTTAACCTATTCTCCAACAATATCTAACTCTCAAACAATATCCAACTGTAACAACAGTAACCAAACTCGTATCCAACTCTTTAACACTCTTTAACAGTATCCAACTCTTTAACAATCTCTGACAGTATCCAACTCTTTAACACTCCCTAGCAGTAAAAACCCTCTAGCAGTATCCAACTCTTTAACAATCTCTGACAGTATCCAACACTTTAACACTCCCTAGCAGTAAAAACCCTCTAGCAGTATCCAACTCTTTAACAATCTCTGACAGTATCCAACACTTTAACACTCCCTAGCAGTAAAAACCCTCTAGCAGTATCCAACTCTTTAACAATCTCTGACAGTATCCAACACTTTAACACTCCCTAGCAGTAAAATCCCTCTAGCAGTATCCATCTCTTTAACACTGATTACAGTAAAAAGTTGTATGAATTCCTAGGCTCATTTATTGGATATGCAAGGTTAATGACAATCATAAATGATACTGGATAATCATACATTCCTATAAATAACAGGAGATAAATGATACTGGATAATCATACATTCCTATAAACAACTTGATAAGAAAATGATACTGGATAATCATACATTCCTATAAACTTGAGGTAAATGTAGCTCCTTGAAATAGAATATTTAGACTAATGGTGATCCTTCGACAAAATAAAAATCACAACGAACTAAAATATAGCCTGTTATAAAACTTTTGTTGTTTGAATGTATCAGATACATCATTAAGAAACCATGTGCAAAGTTTTGTGTTTCTGAATCAAAGCTATTTCTCATAAACTGTGATTGAAAGTAGAGTAAATTCTTAAGTCTGAGAATCCTTTGTGAAACCAGGACCAGGTCTACAGTTGAACTAATATAGAATTATTTATTTAATTAGGAAGGCGTGCATTATCCACCATTAACACTCCACAGCCAAAAGCTGAACCTTCTACAGAACAGATGACTGTTAAAGATAGAGCACGACCTTTAACCCCGAAGTCATCAACACCAGTTGTATGTCATAAAGTTAAGGTGGGTATTATTCAAATAGTAGCAGAGCGTAATACCTTGTATAACTGACATTTTGATCATGTTATAGACAGCAAGGTCGTCTGATATGATTTTTCCTAACCTATTTGATGACTGTTGTGTAGGTTGATGGACAGGTGAGAAAAAGATAAGAAATGAGATGTAGTTTAACGTCCTACAGTTCTGGTCTAAATCTAATTGTTAAGGCCAGCTCAATTTTTGTCAAGGTCGCTGAGATGTAAATAAGGTTAGGGCACATTGATTATTGGCAAGATTGTAGGTTAGGATTAAGGGTAAGGATTAAGGCTAGGTTCAGGGTTAGGGTTGGGATTAGCGCTAGCCCTGTTTATATCTTGTGACTTTTGACCAAACTTGAAGTTGGCCTTATCAATTAGATCTTTAACCATAATGAAGATGAGCACACATCTTGCATTGTGATACATGTATGAGAGAAATTTTCCTGAGACAGAGGTGCTACAGCCTACTTTTATTTTCACTTCCAACCGTCAGTGTATCATTAGCCAGTCAGTGCAGAAAAGTAGGAGGTTAAACCACATTTCATTAAATTACAGGAAATTTACTAAAGTCAAAAAAACCAAAACGAAATCAGCTGTACTAGAATGCTGGACATTTTGTTTTTTGTAAATATGTTATCTATAAAGCTTTCTCTATGATCTCTGACTGATGTCTCACTAATATATCAATGTATTTGTTTATATTTCAGGGTTTAAGTAATCTAGGTAATACATGTTTTTTTAATGCTGTCATGCAGAATTTAAGTCAATCTTATAGTTTAGAATCACTGTTACTAGAGAAAACAGAGAAAGGACGTCCATTAAGACTACCTGGTCATACTATAGTTGATATAGAAAGCGGTGGTTCCAGTGACGAGGAACCTGATGATGATGCTGCTACCAAAGATTTAGTGAGTTATCATGAACTGTTCTAGTTATACACATGGAAATCTGGTCGGATATTGTCATTGCTTCCGTCCATTTCTTTTGAACCATCTACAGACTACATTTTTTGTTGTAAAGGAAATAAGCCGAGTTGACAGTCTATTCAAAACAATATCTTAGGTCGTGTTGGTTATTTTTTTTGTATGATCAGGGATGCAGTGCAAAAGAGGAGAGGTTTGCCTCATGTTCCTGAAACAACGACTGCAAGTTTTACAACATCTAGCCGTTATTAGATTGGTCTGACATTTCCGAACTTATAGGGACTTTGTGCTTTTAGAATAAAAAGTGATTGTTTCCCATAAAAATTGAGTTCTGTTTAATGTGTTTCTCAACCGCTAAGTGCCATTTAAAGATTAGGATTTTATAGTTGATAAATGAATATTTATTGTAATTATGACAATGTATGATATTTATTACATTCTACTATTCTATCTGGGCAGGTTGGTCTGTTAACCCAATCTCTAGTAGGATTTGATAGTTGATTAACTAAGTTCTACCAGGTGAAGTTGTTCCATTAAACCAATCTCTAGTAGGATTTGATAATTGATTAATTAAGTTCTACCTGGTGCAGTAGTTCTATTGACCCAATCATTAGTAGGATTTCATAGTTGATTAATGAATATTTATTACGGTTTCGTATAGAAGTTCTACCTGGTGCAGTTGGAACATTAACCCAATCATTAATTTGATTTCAAATAGTTGATTAATGAATATTTATTACAGTCTAGTATAGAAGTTATACCAGGTGAAGTTGGACCATTAACTCAGTCGTTAGTAGGATTTTTAGTGGAAATGAATAAAGGTGTTAGTAAAGGTAGTAGCAGTAATACGGTAAACCCATCAGCTTTATTTGGACAGATCTGTAAAAAGTAAGTACACTACGGCCACATTCAACATGATCCCTGCTAATAGACGATCTTATTAAAAAGAGAGAGAGAGAGAGAAATGGGGTTTAACGTCCACTCGATACAAAACTAGTTCATTTCGAGACTTAAGCACCGTTTATACGATCAATCCATACAACCATCGGATGCAACATATTGGACGACTGTTTACACGTTACAATTACAATGTTCTAACTTCTATTTGTTGTATGACAACATTTTTTCCTAGGGCAACTTTTGTTCCTTCTTAGTAACTCAATAATATGGCAGTAAGGCAACGCTTCTCACCCCCATCTTCGTGTAGTTTTGATTGATGCCACAGGTTCCATAAAGTCAATGCTTCGTATACAGGGTTATTAAATATTCTAATTCAGTCGCGGCTAGGTTTAGAATAAAATTTATAGAATGTCAAAGTACTTGAAGCGACAGAAGAAGACATCTTTAATGAGGAATTCAGGTTGCCAAGTCAGATATGACGTCATACACGGTCTCCTACAACCGGGGAATCAAAACCACGCTAGTTGACTCAATGACAGACCTTATGATACAGTGCACAGGTGCTAACCATTCGCCATCCAACCCCCTCTAATGAAAAAGAATACACAGAAACATGTTTCAGTCAGTTTTGTGGGGGACTTAGTTTTTTTGACATGTGCTGTTTTTGAAAAAATAGAAATAATTCATGTATTTTCGTCACAAAAATGGATAAATATTAACAAATACATAACAAAGGTATGTAGTAGTATTAATGTACTAAATGACATGTTACCAGAATCTATATTTGAGTCAAAGAATTTTCGTTCTAATAGCGAGTTTCGGTGACGGTCAAATATACTGATGCGAGTTTCGCTGTTTGCTCCTGAGGCATCCAAGCGTAAAATGTTTCTTGATATATCAGCACTAACTAACACAAAGAGATTTTTATTAAGAGGTCACTCCATTAAGTTTTCAGTCATGCAATTCCCTTGAGTGGCTGTTGAATACAGATTCTACTGTAATAAACCAGTGATTGTTCCTTTAAATAAAAGTGCATTATTAAAGGACAATATTGGTGTCAGTCATTATCACATATGTGATAGATCTGGTTAAACACCTTTCAAATATAATTTTAACACAGATCATTGCTACAATAGATGGGTAATGAAGATGTCAAGAAACGGAAGTGGGAAAATATGAGTTATCCTTCTATACAACTGACTGAAGTGATGAGTGATAACAGATACACGGACAAATTTCTGCTCACCAATAATTCCTTCGAAGACCAAAAATTGTTACATGAGACTATGCGAGGATATCTGACAATTCCAAAAAATAATTGACTGACACTAGATAAGAGAATTGGAAAATAAATAGAAAAAATCTGTGCATTGCAGTGGTTTTATTAAGTATAGAATGAATAAAACCAAGGGAATGTACAGACTATTTCTATTTTTTGTCCTTAAATGCTAGGGGGGGTTGGGTGGCCGAATGGTTAGCACGTGCGCACAGTGCGCTGTATCATAAGGCCTGTCATTGAGTCAACTGGCGTGGTTTCGAATCCCCGGTTGTACATGACAAGGAGTAGGGTCACCTGTCCAACCTCGTGGGTTTTCTCCAGGTCCTCCGGTTTCCTCCCACTACTAAAGAACCCTACGTGCAAGCAAATTATTGAAATAAAATTAAACCATATGTTAGTCCCGAAATGACCTAGTTTGTGTTGAGTGGACGTTAAACCCCATTTCTCTCTCTCTCCCTTAAATGCTATGGTATATTTTTTTTACTTTAGTCACATTGTATTAAACTGTTATGAGGACCATGATATATATATTAATATGTATTGTTTTTCAGGGCTCCACGATTTAAAGGATTCCAGCAACAAGATAGTCATGAATTATTACGTTATTTATTAGATGTTATTCGAACCGAAGAAATAAAGGTAATAAAATTATATACTTGGTACTGTGTTTAAGACGAGAAATGATTTCACCGATCTATTGTTTTATTTAGGTCTAAATAAAATCCCCGGTTGTATGTGACAAGGAGTAGGGTCGCCTGTCCAACCTCGTCTCCGGGTCCTCCGGTTTCCTCCCACTGCTAAAGACCCCTATGTGCAAGCAAATTATTGAAATAAAATTAAACCATATGTTAGTCCCGAAATGACCTAGTTTGTGTCGAGTGGACGTTAAACCCATTTCTCTCTCTCTCTCTAAATAAAACGTTGAATTGGACGTTTATCTGATGTGTTATTTGGATTGATGATTTTAGTTTCACTTTCAGCTGTTGACTTTAATTATATTGCAACATAATTTGGTTCTGCAGAGATCCTTTATACATATTAGCACTCATATAACAATACTTATCGTATCGTGACTACAGTCGCAATACCCAGCATTAGTACACATTGGCGTGCACAAAAAGATTGTTGTTAAAATTTTAAGAGGTAAAAATTTTAAGAGGTAGACCGATACCTGCTTTTAATTTGCCCATTCCCCTGATTTTGATTTTTATTGTTTTATTTTTTTTTCCAGAGGTGTCAAACAGGAATTTTAAAGCATTTTAATGTAAATCCCAAATCTATAGATGAAGAGACAAAGATGAAAGTGAAAGGTACCAAGACCGTATATTTATTCTTTACTAGGGTCTCCCTTACAACAAATTTCTATATCAGTTTGTTAAAGATACATTACATCAGATGGGCGAAAAACTGAGGTCCTGTGTACACATTGGCGTGCACGTAAAAGATCCCTTGACAGTTGGAATGCGATATAAGTGTTGTCCATGTCCAGGCCAAATTTACCACATAGCCGACTGTAGGGCGTATGCCATTCTTCAGTAGGAAGTTAAACCACAAGTTTAATTTCATTTTGGGGTCACGGTGCCTAAGTGGGTAAGACGCTGGCTCGCTAGCCAGAACGGGGGGTTCGATCCCTGTATTGGCCGAGAAAGTTAATCCAGATTTTCCGGCGTGGTTCTCCCTTGTCAGTGATGCAGGACAGAGTGCCTGACAAGAACAGCTGTCTAGTCGTTCGCATGGTACGAAAAACCAAGGTCCCGTGTACACATTGGCGTGCACGTAAAAGATCCCTTGACCATTGGAATTCGATATAAGAGTAGACCGTAGTGCCGCTGTCCGGGCAAAATTTCCCTTATAGCAAACTGTATGGCGTATGCCTGTCTTCATTAGCCCAGTTCGGAGCAGAACAGTAGGACGTTAAACCCCATTTCGTTTCGTTTGATACTAATTTGCTTTGGGTTCCACAACCACATTGATGTTCTGCTAAATTTACAAATTTGTTTCCAGATTTGTTTTGTTACTTTTTAGGATTAAATCTATTTTAATTTTAGAATATGGTCGTCAAGGTAAACATACATTTATAGATAGTTTATTTGGAGGTCAATTAGTTAGTACAGTCATGTGTGAAGAATGTAAACATGTAAGTTATTAGTTCTTAAGGGCAGCCACGGTGGCTAAGTGGGTAAGACGCTGGCTCGCTAGCCTGAAGGTCGCATGTTCAATCCCTGCATTGGCCGAGATAGTTCATTAGGGTTTACCGACGTGGTTTTCTATGGTCAGTGGTGCAGAACAGAGGGCTGTCTAGTCGTTCGGATGGGACAAAAAAATGAGGTCCTTTGTATGCATTGGCGTGCACTTAAAACATCCCATGGCAGTTGGAATTTGATGTAAGAGTAGGCCATAGTGCCGCTGCCTAGGCAAAATTTTCCTTGTACATGTAGCACACTGTATGTATGTCTGTCTTCATTAATCCAGATGGAGTAGAACAGTAGGACATTCCCATTTCATTTCATTAATTCTTAAAAATTGTTGCAAGGCATTTAGTAATTGAACTGCTCATACATAGGTTACAATTCTATGGAATACAAATACTGCTTATTACTGAGAAACGTTTCAACTAAGTTTATCTAGTTATTAGTGGAAACGTCGCTCAGTAATAAGCAGTAATTGTATTCCATAGAATTGTCACCTGTGTATATTAATATATTTTTTAAAGTATAATGTTGTTAATTTTAGGTATCTCAGATATTTGAACCATTCCTTGACTTATCTCTACCTGTTACGGAAGAAAAGGTAACTCTTACTTTTTTCCTAAGTTTTCTTAAAGATCTACTCCAGGGCCTGGGGGATTGTGTGGCCAAATGGTCAAACATGCATGCTTTAGATCATAAGGTCTGATATTTATTAATTTGGCTTGATTTTTCGATACCACACCAGTACGTGATAAGGAGTAGGGTCGTCTGTCAAACCTCATGGGTTTTCTGCGGGTCCTCCGGTTTCCTCTCACTGATATAAAAATTCTTCCATGCAAGCGAATTATTGAAATAAAATTGAACCATATGTTAGTCCCGAAAAAACCTGGTTTGTGTTGAGTGGGCATTAAACTCTCTCTCTCTCTCTCTCTCTCTTGAAGCGCAACACTGTAGACCGCAATCCCTACCCCCCTTTGGGCAAGTGAATTATTGAAATATAAATTGAATCATAAAATCTTCGACCTCTAGCTAGCCGTTAAACTCTGGCTTGCGGTTGTGGTTTCTATCTCTGGTGAGGGCTTATGTGATTTGGAGATAGGGACGCCTTCTCAACCTCGTGGGTTTACTCTGGTTTCCTCCCACAAAAAAAACCCTGTGCGTGTGCTCAGATAAAAAACTTAAGACAATATGTGTGCGATATCACCCACAGTGCAAATGGACATTAAACACTAACAGAAGAAGCATTGAGCAAAGAAATTTTAAATGTTATGGATCTTTTGGGCACAGGAATGTTGTTAAGTCATTTTTTTTCACCATATATTGTTGTTTTAAATTTCAGCCGTTAAGACCTAATATGGTAGTGAGTGGAAAGAAGAAATCTGTAGATGAAGTAGATGAATCACACATTGTAAAAAGTTCTGAAGGTCTGGCTTCTAAAGATAACCATAGTAAACATCCATCAAAAAAAGACAAAAGATTATCAAAAAAAGAACAGAGGGTAAGTTACAAATATCACTGATGCTCGGTTTAAGTTACATATAACACTGATGCTTGTTTTAAGTTACATATAACACTGATGCTTGTTTTAAGTTACAAATAACACTGATGTTCGGTTTAAGTTACGAATAACATTGATGCTCAGTTTAAGTTACGAATAACACTGATGCTCGGTCTAAGTTACAAATAACACTGATGCTCGGTCTAAGTTACAAATAACACTGATGCTTGGTTTAAGTTACAAATAACACTGATGCTCGGTCTAAGTTACAAATAACACTGATGCTTGGTTTAAGTTACAAATAACACTGATGCTCGGTCTAAGTTACTTAATTAAGATCGATAATGGTTTTTAATTACTTAATTTAGATTGATACTGGGGTTTAATTAATTAATTTAGATGGATGATAGATTTGGGTTAATTAATTTAGACAGATGTTAGGGTTAAGGTAATTAAATTAGCCCATCTTGGTTTGATTAATTAAGACTGATGCTAAGAAGTGGTATCGTGTTGTAGAAAGGGTAAACAAATCCTGCCTCGGCTATCACTACTTCACTGTTGTAGTTTTTGGAAATGGACAATTACTGGGTAGAATATAATTTTGGGGCCCAAGCCCAGGTCAGCAGCAGTTTAAATACAATAATGGTTTTCTAGCCATGCATACTCCTCAAATGAGAAGTGTTATCAGGTGTTTGAGAAAGAATGTCCACTATGTTATTATTATATTTTATATCTTTTTAAAATATTTTTGATTAGCGTAAAGAGAAATATGCACGCAGAGCTAATAAGCAAGAAGATCCTATATTTAGTGATGGAGTGAAGGAGGATGAAGAAGGTGATGAAGTGAAAGAAGAACGAATAACAGAAGAAAGAAGAGTATCAGTTGATGGAGAAAAGGATGATAAAGAAGATCATGATCCTTCAGGTAGAAAATATACAGTTATCTGGACTACACCGTGGAGCATTTTTAAAATGTATACAAAGTGTTTATGTTCATGACATTAAGCTTATTTATCGATTTCCTATAATTGCTATCACAGTTATGTCCCTTGTTCATTTAAAACAATAATGCCCTGAAGGCTTAAGTTATACACCATGTTTAAGTTCATGAGCTAAAGAAGCCTATTTAATTTCAACGTTTCCAATAATTACTGCCTTAAGTTGTGGCCCTTATTCTTGTGGCTTCTCTTGAGGCTACAGTTATTACATGTACAGCTGTTATACATGCCTGAGAAAAAGATAAAAACTTAATACAAATTTGCTAAAGTTATCATCTGAATACTTGTACATGTTTTTGTTAGTTCTAAGAAGAACTAGAAGCTTATCAAATTTTAATTACTTCATGAGTTGTTACTGTTGATATGATTTTGCTCAATTTTTAGTGTTTTGTAAAGCCTGTCGTTTACCAATAAAATACACAAAGATGGCAGCCTTTGTGGACTGCTCAGACGACTTAGCTGCTGTGGGCGTATGTTTAACCTTTCTTTCATATTTCAGATGCTGATGTAGAAGACAATTTAGAAAGTGACGCATCAAAACTTTTCGGAGGTGCCTCAGTCAATAATAGTATATTAGAAGCGCCATCTATAGCTAACGATTTATCTATCCCACCTGTAGCTAATACAAATAATTTAATAACTTTAAACAATACTAATCCAGAACTTCAAAATACTCCTAAAATTGAAGGTGCACAATTTATAAACATTAATGGCGATTGTAAGGACAATGAAGATGGAAGTACTGTTGATGCGGACAGTAGTTCAATGACCTTAGTTGAAAACGATAGTTCCACTTTGTTTACGAGTACGGAGGGTTCGTTGACGGCTAGTAGTATCGGTAGCTCTCATAAAAAAAGTACAGACAGTTCACGATCGAGTACCTGTGATATAAAGTATGACCAAGATATGTTGGACGGTAATTGTATGAGAAAAGGGCTGTCGGAATCTCTTAATGAATTACATCTAGAAGACTCTCGTACTCGCCTTGGAACCAATGGCACTGATCTAGTGGAGAATCTAACCAAAAAGTTGAATTATTTAAATTTGGATGTGTCCGGTTCAACTGCCGGAGGATTAATAGATAATGCTGATATTCCATACATCGACTCTGTGGAATCGCAGGAATCCGCAGAGTTGTCTAGTCTGCCTTCATTACCTGTCGTTAATCAATCACGCGATCTTCCGCCATCTTTAGATTGCAATGGCATCCCTGATCCTAATTCACCAAATCATCGGAAGTTACGCCAGGCGCTGCGGAAGGAAGCTCAGTATAAATCCATGTCTACGTTATCTCCACGATATCAGTCGTCGGGAAAGGAGTGCTCCATCCTGTCTTGTTTACATCAATTCACCTCCGCGGAACTGCTGACCGGTAGTAATAAAGTTAGCTGTGAGCGATGTACGAAAATCAAGAATAATAAAACAGCCATAAATAAAGGTAAGACAGTGAATACAGTTTAAAGATGCTATCGTCAATTTGTGGGTTTTGTTTTTGACAATATCAAAGTTTTGGTATTGTTTTCTTAAACATACATTATGCAAGAGCTAAATCTGTCTATTGCAGGTCTTTCTTTGGGCCTGAAATGTTATCTAAATTATTAATTAGACATTAATTAACCTATCCAGACCATAATCAACTCTAGATGGTTATGCTAGCCTGCGATCTTTACTGGATTATGAGCTGATTTACTGCATAACTTTCCTTCTTGATTAAACGATTAAATGGATAATGGAGACTATGCTGTTTATCGTACTGACTTTAGTAATGATGATCGAGGCTAGGCGGAAATTCCTACCGCTTAGTTCTCGGTTCATAGTGGATCAATTTGAATGAAATTTTCAGCAAATTGCCTTTACATTATCTAGTTTTTAACTATTATAGTGAGGACTGCCAACTCGTTATCGAATCTCCCATAATGTATATTTAATTAAAGGTTAACTAATCATTTTTTTAGTTCATTTTAAGCGTGGATTAAGACATGATATTGTCAGTTATTATTTTAATATCAACTGGTACCTGGAATTCTTACGGAGTGTGGAAAACACGTGCAATTCGCAAACAATGTCGAGATAGTCTTCTTTTGCCACGTGGCTTATTTTCACAAAGGCAGCTTACCGAACCTGCTCAGAATAATCAGCAAGCTTGTTTTTTTTTTTTTCCCGCATTATCAAAATAACCGTTAAATGTGCTAATTACTCGGATTATGAACCACATGGTTGATTCTCATTAAGGAATGGCTGTTGTTGTAGCCAACAAACAAGTTGATTGACTTCTTAATTAAAAGTAATAATTATAACCTGTTGTAATTTAGCGGAAAGTAGATTGATTTATGATACCGTAGTGACTGGTTAATTGTTTGACCAATCGACTAGATTAAACATCAATCAGCTAAAGCAACAACCGATTAAAAACAGTACTCAGTAGGCTATTAAATAATGTTCTTGCTATGTGTAAAGAGAGTGATCAGGGTTTGTTATATAATAAAACAAAAAATTAGTTAATCCCTGGTTTCTTGTTATTTTCACTGATCTTTTTACCTGATCAGCGAGGAGCCAAATAATTAGCTGTTAATCTAGCTATATGACTGGATAGCGGATATCAGCAATGGCCGTTGAATGGGTGATATCTTGACAATTTTATAAAAAAGATACTGGCTGTTGGCTGGTCACATTAGAGGAGTGGCTGTAAATAATTTCAACAGGTGTATTTATTGTGACTGCTCGTACAGATTCTACTGTACTGTATTAAGAAGAAGAGTGAGACCGTCTTGTTGTCAGATCTATATAATCGTATTATTTATATTTTGTAGATAAGAAGAAAAGTGAGACCGTCTGTTCGAATGCTAGTAAACAATATTTAATATTTCAACCACCTGCTGTTTTAACTCTTCATTTAAAAAGATTTGAACAGGTAGGTGCTTGTCTCTAATCCCAGTTAAAAGGACAGCTGTCTTGTCGTTCGAATGGGACAAAAAAACAAGGTCCTGTGTATACAATGGCGTGCACCTTAAAGATCCCTTGGCAGTTGGAATTCAATATAAGAGTAGGCCATAGCGCTGCTGTGCGGGCAAAATTTCTCTCGTGGCACACTGTATTGCGTATGCCCACCTTCATTAGCCCAGTCAGAGCAGAACAGTAGGCATTAAACCCCATTTCATTTCATTTTCTATGGTATTTTATATAAATTTGATTTATTTGTAGGTTGGTTTTGCATCCAGAAAAGTAAATCGTCATGTAGATTTTCCATTAGTTCTTGACCTAGCTCCATATTGTAGTTCTTTATGTCAGGTTGGTATTAATATATATTGTAATCAGTTATAGATTGGAAACTGCTGGGGAGCCATGGTGGCTCAGTGGCTTGCTAACAGGGGGTCTCGAATATTATCCCGGTGTTGGCTGAGAAAGTTCCTCAGGATTTTCTAATTTCCCCTTGTCAGTGACTAGTTGATCGGTTGGTATGAAAAATCTAGGTCCTTTGTACACATTGGCAAGCACATAAAGGAACACTTGACATTTTGAATTCAAAATAAGAGTAGACCATTGTGCAAAATTTCTCTCATAGCACACTGCATGGCGTATGCACATCTTCATTAGCCCATTTTAAACCCCATTTCATTTCATTGAAACTGCCAAGATATTTGAGATGTTGTACTACCCAGTATTAGCAGAGAAGATGGAAATCCTGCTGTATCCCTCCTTGCATTGCATATGTGACCATAGTCAATAAGATATTCACGCAAAGTGCGAAAATATGCAACAGCTATCTCTCAACTGAAGCTTATCTTAAAGGCAAACTTGCAAGTTGCTCAAATTTGATAAATATCTTGATCCTTCAATAAATCAGTCATATGGATGAGACAAAAAAGACAAGGTCTTGTGTATACATTGGCGTGCATGTAAAAGATCCCCTGGCAGTTGGAATATGATATAAAAGTAGGCCATAGTGCCTCTGCCGAGGCAAAATTTCCCTCATACCACACTGTATGGTGTATGCCTGTCTTCCTTTTCCCAGTAGGAGCAGAGAACGGTAGGACATTAAACCCCAATTTCATTTTATTTCTGTTCCAGGGTATTCAACCAGGTCAAAGAAAAGTTCTTTATTCCTTATATGGTGTTGTTGAACACAGTGGACGTCTATCTGGTGGCCATTACACAGCATTTGTCAAAGTCCGACCTAATCTGAATGCAGTAGTAAGTTACATACAACCACACTATTCATTTCCCAAAGAGTATATCCATAGATACGTCGAACGATCCATCAACGGTCCAAAATCTCCGGAAACCGACATCAGTGAGAAGGCAATCGAGAGTTTGATTCCTCCAGGAAAATGGTACCATATCAGTGACAGTCACGTCCATGAAGTTCCAGAATCCTCCGTTCTTCACGCACAAGCTTACCTTTTATTTTACGAGAGAATTCTTTAAAGATAATTAGTCTTAGTGAAAAGTAGGACGTCAATCAATTACCCACCCCCCTACATTTCATTTTGTCTTAAGCGGCCCATACACGGCCCCCTACATTTCATTTTGTCAAGCGGCCCATACACGTTCAATTTTTTCGTCAATCTATTAATTGATTTCAGTTAATTGACGAAATTGACATTGCTCCCACACGATCAATGTTTTAGCTTCAATTTACATTCTGATCGAAAACTTTGAGATGAAAGCATCTCTAGCACTAGCACACACGGTTGATTTAATTGACGAGCCGTCAATAAATATCAAAGGAACTTTGATCCGTCAATTAATTGACTCAATTAAATTGTTTCAATTAATTTGCCGTCAATGTCCTTCATACACGTTCAATTTCTTCATCAATTAATTGAACGTGTATGGACCACTTTAGTGACCCAAAAATATTTCGAACAACTGAAGTCAGTTACGTATTATTTTACTAGAGAATATGACTTGTATGTTGTAGAATTAATTACGAAATTTATTGTTTGGAAGTTAAAAGGTTGTATATGGGTTTAGCCACATTGTTCAGGCAAGCAAAAAATGCATAGCAGTTAAGAATCATGAGGGGGGTTGGATGGCATTGTATCATAAAGTCTGGCATTGAGTCAACTGGCGTGGTTTCGATTTCCCAGTTGTACGTGAGAAGGAGTAAGGTTGCCTGTCCAACCTCGTGGGTTTTCTCCGGGTCCTCCGGTTTCCTGCCACTGCTAAAGACCCCTACGTGCAAGCGAATTATTGAAATAAAATTGAACCATATGTTAGTCACGAAATGACCTAGTTTGTATTGAGTGGACGTTAAACCCTATTTCTCTCTCTAAGAATTATGATATTGTACGGAAACCACATTTTGAAACAATGTCTAGATCCCCTTGAAACAATATTTATAAAACCTTTTTTTATTGGCTTAGAAATACATGAAAAGATGCACAAGAAAATTCTAAGTATAGACAAGCAAAAATATAAATTTTGTAATATATGCCATATACAACCTTTTTGACTTACGTCCGACAATATGTAACATCTGGTGTCACTTGTGTTTTATTTTCTGAGAGAATGCATTAAAAACTGTTTATGATTTAGTCATTATAAGTAAAAAGTTTTAGGAGAGAGATAATATATGCCCAGCCTGTTTCTCAATCCTTTTCTGAGAATAAGATTTAATTTGTTTTTATACTTAATGAAAACTAGGACGAACACTTTCATATAAGGTCCACTGGTTTAGATGTATTTGAACTTATAAATGTTAAGTTCAGATAGCCATTCTATTTTTGTGATATTCACAATGCTTTAAGAGTTGAATTGTCTAAATATTCAATTTATCCAATTATTATAAATGAAATGAAATGGGGTTTAACGTCCTACTGTTCTGCTCCTAACCTGGGCTAATGAAGACGGCAATTATTATAAGATAATTCAAATATCCATTATTTTAAAGATACATTATGGGAGATAAGATAAAGAGCTGGAAGTTCTCACTATAATAGTTAAAAACTAGATAATGTAAAGGGAATTTGCTGAAAATTTCAGTCAAATGGATCCACTCTGAACCCAGATTTTAGCGATTGAATTTTGGGCCAAGCCTTGATCATCATTACTAAAGTCGGTACGATAAAAAGCATAGTCCTGATTATCCATTTCATGATTAAATTATGAATGGAAGTCAAACAGCATATCGGGGCCTAATCCAATAAAAATCACGCCCTAGCGATGGCATCAAGAGTTGATTATGGTCTTGATAAGTTAATTAATGTTTAATTAATGATTTATATAACATTTCAGGCCTAAAGAAAGACCTGCAATAGGCAGATTTAGCTCTTGCATAATATCTGTTTAATGATTACATGTACTAAACCTATTTGTTATTTTGTTTTTACTATTGAGAAATCTACAATTAGGCCACCCCAATTTTATTTTCTGTTCTTCAAGACCTTCATAAATAAATAGCTACTTGAATCATGTGACAGAATTTTTTGTTTTAAATTTCAAAACTTCTTGAATCATGTGAAAGAATTTTTTGTTTTAAATTTCAAAACTATTTGAATCGTGTGAAAGAATATTTTTTTGTAAATTTCAAAACTACTTGAATCACGTTAAACTCCATTTCTTTCTCTCTCTCTCATTACCCGGCTTCGTTAAACAGATTGGTGCTGACAAGTTTGACGTTAAATATCATTTCATTTCAACTTTGACTTAAACATACATTATGCTAGAGCTAAATCTGCCTATTACAGGTCTTTCTTGAGGTCTGAAATGTGATCTAAATTATTAATTAGGCATTAATTAACTTATCAAGACCATAATCAACTCTCGATGCCATTGTTAGCCTGCAATATTAAGTGGATTTGAATACTTTTTTGTGATGGATGATTTAACGTAAAAATGAATAGTTGAAACTTATTTTATTATCGTATCAATGGTAGTAATGACAATCAAGGCTAGCCTAAAATTAAATCACTAATATCTCGGTTCAGGGTAAAGCAATTTGACTGAAATTTTCAGCATATTCTGTTTTCATTATCTATTTTTTAACTATTATAGCGAGAACTGTGTCAGCTATTTATCTAATCCTACCTAATATCTTGGTTCAGGGTAAAGCAATTTGACTGAAATTTTCAGCATATTCTGTTTTCATTATCTATTTTTTAACTATTATAGCGAGAACTGTGTCAGCTATTTATCTAATCCTACCTAATGCCCCTTTAAGTAAAAAAATACCAAACACAATATAATTGTTATGATAAAAATATTGTTACATATTGTGTTTATAGATATAAATTGTAAATTGTTATTATTGAGAGAGAATATATGATAGTAATTGTTATTGTGTAAAAAGGACTGAAATAATTGTTTTATTAATGCATCTTGGTATGACCATGGTTCACTAATATTATCACCTATGCCTAATTTGGAGGAGGGCGATCACTGTAACGCGGGTATCATTTAATCTTGTGTATCTAGCACTAATTTCTTTTACATTCGTTTAATATCTATTTTTTGTTTTAAAATTCGTAAAAATCATTTAAGATCACCCAAAATCATCTAATTTGTCCAGTTTAAAGCTGACTGATTAATTTTGATAATTTACAAGCATTTTATTTTCTGACCATTGTTCAAAAACTAATCATTATACATAAATAATCAATTGGGTTGTTTATTTTTTAACAGTGATCAAGAAATTAAATACTTGTAAATTGGACACTCAGTATCAAAATTGAATGGTCAGATCTAAACTGTACACAGTACAAATTTTAATTAGATGATTTTTGGTGATTTTAAATGATTTTTTCAAATTTTTAAACAAGGATTTGTTATTGAATAAATGTGAAAGAAATTAGTGCTAAATACACACAAGATTAAATGATACTGAATATATCCCGATTGGCTCTGTATATTAACAAAATATTAACAAAAAGGATATTTGAAATCAAATATTAAAGTGGCATTATCACTTCTACTGAGTTTATAAAGGTAAAAGATAATCTTACACCAACCATGAACCTGTTTAGAAAAAGAAATTATCTAAAAATGATTGTAAAATTGTCGAATAATGTTTGTATATTAGTGATTTATCGATTTGTCTCAAATTTTCGATTCAATTTTGATTTGAATGTATAGTCAAATCGCAGCAAATCAAATATTATTTTACATCTATAAGCAGGCCTGGAAATAATGGTTTTAGATGTACCTGGCACTAATAAATAATACCTGATATTTTCAACTTAGTGCCAGACATGTATTAATAATATCAATAAACAAGACAAATCAGTGCTGGACAAAATGACAGGCACCAGAGGTTTTGTGCCTGGCCAAGCCTGAATTGGTGCCTGACATTGTCTGTGACTGGTGCCTTATTTCCAGACTTGTTTATAAGTGTAGATCTCGAAATCACAAATATGTTCTTTAACTGAAGTGAATCGGAGCAAATCAGATTATTCCAGTCATCTGAGACCAGTTAAACCATCAGTATGGATAAGTGTTGTATACTAGCTTGTTTATGCTTCCTCTTTCTAGAACATCCGATACCTCTTCTGATTTACTGGACACTGTGGATATACCAAGATGATTTTAAAGAATTTTCAGGGATCTTTGTTGATTTAAGAATATTGTTAAAGAGGTTTATGAGAGAATATTTTTGGGTTTGAGAAATTGTTTGAGACAGAAACAAGATATTTAAATCAATTTATTAAAGTTTCTTGAATCTAGAGCAGTGGTTCTCAACCATTTTTCGCCAATGGCACACCTTGGAACACATGGGTCTAATAAAGACAGGCATACACCTTACAATTTGGCCCGGACGGCGGTGCTATGGCCCACTTTTGGGTTTGAATTCCAACTACCAAGGGAAATTTTGCTCAGATAGCAGCGCTACGGCCCACTGCTAGATCAAATTCCAACTGCCAAGGGATCGGGTTAGCAAAAAAACGTCTTACTCACTGAGCCACTTGTTCGATCCCTGCATTGGCTGAGAAACTTCCCTAGGTGGTTTTCGCTTGTAAGTGGTAAATGACGGAGAGCCAGACAAGGAATGACGAATAAACTAAGTCTTATTTCCACCTAAGTCTGCTGTTGAGCAGGGATTTTTAAATATCTGTTGTTTAAAAAGACTTGTTCTTAAAAGAATATTTTCACAAAAACATCAAATTAGCAAATATCTTGTTTCTGTTTCGTAATATGGACAAGTATGTTATTTCTTTGAGGTTATAATGTTATGATCGTATTGTTGACATGTAATATGGACAAGTATGTTATTCTTTTGATTTTAATTCTATGATGGTATTGTTGACATGTAATATGGACAAATGGTTATTGCTTTGAGTTTAATGTAATATGTAATATGGACAAGTACGTTATTTGATCGTATTGTTGACATGTAATGATGGACAAGTGGTTATTGCTTTCGAGTTTAATTTTATGATCATATTGTGGACATGTAATATGGACAAGTACATTATTCCTTCGAGATTATAATGTTATGATCGTATTGTTGACATGTAATATGGACAAGTCCGTTATTCTTTCGAGTTTAATGTTATGATCATATTG